CCGCCCGCACTCCGCCACCGCCCCTGCCCCTGCGCCGCTCGGCCTCGCGCCCCTTGCCACTCCCCGAGCCAGAGGTTCGCTGAACGCGTCCCAGCCCGAGGCCCCGGCCCGACGCGGGGCTACGGGCGGGCTGGGCTGCGCGTCCGGCGACTCGCACAGGAAAGCGGACGGCGGAGGGAGGGCGCTTGGGAGAGGGGGATGGGAGAAGGGAGGAAGAGGGAGAAGGAGGGAGCACGGAGGAACGAAGGCGAGAGGGGCCCGGAGGAGACGCGAGGGAGGGAGCGCGAGCGAGCTGGCGGGGGTGGGGGGGGCGGAGGATCGGGAAAGGGGAGGCGCCGGGCGAGTTGGCCGAGGCCGAGGGGGCCGGAGCGCGGGGAGGGCCGCGCGGAGCTGAGCGTGGGGAGCCCGCGGGCCCCGCGCGGGAGAGGGCTGGTTAGGAGGGGCTGTGGGATGTGAAAGCAGAGACGGGGGAGGCTGCAGAAGTTTGGGGACAAGAGGGGCTGGGGCTGAGGTGAGGTGGGAGGAGTTTGGGGGATACTGAAGTAGAGATTGGGAATAATGGGGTTAGATTGGAAAGATGGAGATGTGGCCAGGAAGGGGTAAGAGGCTTGGGCTGGAGGCATTTCGGGGCTATTTCAGAGAGAATCCGACGGAAGTTTGGGGACTTGAGAGGGGGAAATGAAAACATACTTAGAGGATGGGGCTTCTGGAAGAGAAGAGTTTAAGGGGTGATTAGTGTTGGAAAGAGTGAGAATTACAAGAATTTGGGAGTGATAAAAGATGGAGAGAAGTCCAGAGATATCTCTGAGGGAGAGATGGCATGAGGGATCTTGGAAGAGATGGGACCAGATGCCTGTTCTAGAGGGAGACTGGGGTTCTGGGTGGGAAATGGGGGTGGCAGTGGATGAATTCTGAAGGTGAAGACTTGCAGTCAAACTGAGAACTGCTTCCTTTGGCAAATAAAGTGGAGGTGAAGGGGTTAAGAGGGACTGGGAGGAAATATAAGATAAACAAGACCTTTCTGTGGCAACATGGAGGGAAGGTCAGGGGGAAGTGACAGAATGGGGGTGGCAGGCCCCAGGTGGGGCAACTGAAGACCAGCACATCACATTTGGGCCCTTCCGTTTAGTGGTATTTACATTTTCCCACTCAAGTAATGACATTACTACTAGAATCTTAGGTCACAGGTTGAAGTGGGGATTGGACCAAAAAGTCCTGCATTCTTAGGGGCCCTGGTTCCCAATGGGTACAGTCCCCAGCACAGCATGCTCTTCCTCACCCTTCCTCCTCTTCCTGTCAACATGCCAGCCATGCCCAGTCTACAACCATGAAGCCAGCATCCCCATCAGTCCACCACCAGTGCCTTCCTTCTAGGCTCCCTGTCTGGCCCCACACCAAACAGCAACATCTCTCAGGACAAAGGACACTAGAGACGGTGATTTTTGGCAGCTGAAATTGGGAAGGCTAGAGAAAGGGAGGGAGGCCGGCTGGAAAACAGGAAGAGCTGGAGCTGGAGTCTGGATTGGGAGCCCTTAGTAGCTCTCCAGATTTGGGGTGAGAGTAGGGCACTTGTGGGGCCCATCCAGCTGCAAGCAAAATTGGGGGGTGAGGAGGGATTGACCTGGCAGACTACCTTTTGGGAAGGAAGGAGGGAGGGTGGCTCTGTAGCAACTCAGTAGATTTTTGTGTCATGATTCCTTAAACCAGATTCAGCCAAGTTCTTGAACTACCAAAAAGTTCTGAACAGATTCCAAAGCACTGGTGAGCGGGATGCTTCCTTACCCTCCAAATGAATCTTTCCCCATCCCCTGCGAAGTTCCTTCAGTCTTTGGGGACACATTTTACCCCCATGCCCACCTTCCTTGTCACCCTCCAGGGCCTCTTAGAGACCAGACCGGCTCCCTGTCCTCTGGTGCACCCAGCTTCCCTTCCCGCATGCTCTAAGATAGCCTCTTGGCTCCTTCCCTCCACCCCCTAATTTTGTTCCAAGACTCCTCCTTCTCCCTAAACCCTCTCCCCTTTGCATTTCCTCTTTCCTTTAGTCTCCCACTGGGCCTGTCCCTGGCCCTTTCCAAATCTTTTCTGGACTGAGCTTTTCTCCTTTCTTAATCACAAAGGCAAAGGCCAAGATGGTGACTTATCTTAGCCTAAAAGAAAATTTTTAAGTCTAGGTAAGGACAGGGATGAAGAGAATAGTAAAGGAAGCCAGCAGTACCCCCTCCAGTTCCCAGGGCCTGGCTCACAGCTCAGCTGCAGAGAACATCACCTATACCACCCCACCCCCCAAATCCTTCACCCCCAGCTCCCTCTCTGGCCCCAGTCCCCCACAACCCACTGGTCTCTAGGCAACGGCACAAAAGGAAAGTAGAGAGAGGGGCCTAGGGGGCCCAAGGAGAGCTAGCTGTAACCCAATCCAACCCAGTACCTGAGGAGGGGGCTGGCTATCAGAGGACGCTTAGCTAGGAGGGAGGGAAGAAGGGACAGGTGTTACACGAAAGGTGGTTCCAGCTACAACAACCATGGCCAGCCTGGGGGTTACAGAGGAAAGATGGGTGTTATGAACCCGAGAAACAGCCACAGAGAAAAGTATAGTGATCCCCAATGGGAGGCATAAAGGGGTGCTAGGATTGATGGGACAGAAATTGAGAGGCACAGGGAAGGAGAGAGGGCAAAATAGCTGAGGGACACAGGAAGGAAAGACATGGACCCTACCCATTCATGCCTGAAAGCTTCTTTTAGCCCTAGAATGGGAAGGATGGCCCAGTGAGCCTAGGATCAGCATTCAGAGGATGAGATGCCAGAGAGGATACATCCTTGAAATTCCTTCCATCTGCCTTTACTGCCCTATTATGGTGTCCTGCAGAACTTTGGCTCCCTCTACTGGCCACAGGGAACCAAGGGCAGATACTGCCTGCAGGGATGTGCCCTGGTACCAAAAGCAGTATGAGGGAACCCCAAGTTGGTCCCTAGGCTGAGCAGCTCAACATTAGGGCTCCACTGGAGCTGTGAAAAGCTAGAGGGCTTCTAGTCACACACTAGCACCCTCCTCATAGCCTGGTCAACCAGGGAGGCTGTTAAGCACTTCAAGTGTTCAATCCAGATTACCGGAAGACTCAGTTTCCTAAGGCCCACCACTATACTGCCCCCCTAAACCATTCTTCCCATTCTTCCCTTCTTAGTCCATGGTCCTGAAACATCTAGAATTCTGTTTGGGAAGCTCAGTACTGGAGTGCTCCAGTCCACTACTTTATCCCTTCTTTGATCAAGAGCTTTGGGAATTAGAAACACCTTACCCCCACCCAGAGGTACACCATTTATGATACTTTGATGGACTCTTGGATTCCAAGTTAAGAATCCTTACTTCACCTGTGTTTTGAGTCAGGGTACTGCTGAGAAGGCGGGAACAATGTGGACCCCACCTAGCAAGCAGAAGAGACAACAGTACCACCATCTTGGTCATGTGTTCAGTGGTTTTCCTCTTTTTGTGCCCTCCCCAGCTTTGCTATCCAGTTTCACCGACTTCCAGTTCTCCATCTTCTCTCATGTGGAGCAGAGTAGAACTCCTTAGACATGGGATGCACTGTGATTGAGACACGGAATGCACTGTGATTCAGATTTTAATGGTAGTGCTCATTTCAAAGCCACAGAGGTGGTGGTAGCCGTGGAACATGACATGGGGGGTGAGACCGTGCTCTGGTGCAGCTGGAGGAAGAACAGGGAACCTAGGACTGAGGAGAGAGTTGTAGGGGAAAAGTCCCCCAGGCACACAGTCCCATTCTGGACAGACCCAGGCTTCAGTTAGTGCACTCAGTGAAATGATGCTAAGGCTCTTTTCTGTTACCCTTCCCATGCTAGACCGCCCACCCCAAGTCATCTTGGCATTTGCAGCCACATGAAAACACAGATACAGCCTAGTCCTCTCAAGTCAGGCCAGTTTTAGACCTTAGAGTTATGGGGAATTGACTGATTAACAGGATGAATAACAAATGCGTAAGTGAATGAATGAATGAATGAATGAATGAATGAGTACACTAAAGCCTTAACTAGGCATGACCATACATCCAGCACTCCCTATACATCACTTCTATGCATAGTTCATGACTCATACACAACATGGAAAACAGAACAGCAAAGCACAAGCGCCACACGGCCCCATCTGAACACCTCAACACACCAAATCCTGAAGCTCCCATCACAGACACTGATGGTTCTTCTGTGGACCTTCTTCTAATCTTCATTTCCAGTCTTTTAAGAGAAGAAGAGAGCATCGACAGGAAGAAGTGGGAAGAATGGAACCCCAAAGAATGGGTCCCAGAGGGGAGGAGGAGGAGAGACAGCGAGGGAGTGAGGAAGCCAAGACAGCTGGAGCAGGTGAGTTGAGGAGTTCTGGGTGACCTGGGGCTCAAGGTATCAGGGTGAACTATGCAGGTCAGGACAGCAAGAAGGACGTTCCAGGAGGACGGGACGGAGGTCGCAAGTCTCCAGGCAAGCAGAGGGATCACAGCACACTGGGGTTGCGGAAATTATGTCCAGCGAAGCGAGCTTCATCCCCCAGCTCTTCTTCAATTCTGAAGAGGAGCCAGAAAGGGAACAATCAGGGGAGCAGGAGGGATCTGCTTTTCTCTGGGTCCCTCCAAGCTCTGCCTTCCCTCAGGCCACCTCCTTTGAGTCCTGTCCCAAGGTGAGCATTCCCTGGCTTTCCCGTGTGTGTCAATCAGACTATCAATGAACCCATCTAGTAAAAACATTTTTTGGGCATCAGCTGCTGTCTAGGTCCTCCTAGGTGCTAGAGATGGAATGGTGGCCTAACAGAGTGTGTAGCCAAGGGTCTTGAGTTCTCATTCCCCAGGGACCCTTACCTCATGAGCTGGTTGTACTTAGCCAGACGCTCAGATCTGCATGGGGCACCAGTCTTGATCTGAAACATTCCAGATGTGCAACTTAAAGACTGTCTCCCTTCACCTAATAGGAAACCTCTCCCCATCCTCTTTCTCTCTCTCTCTCTTTTTTTTTTTGAGACATAGTCTCATGTAGATGGCCTTGAACTCACTGTATGAGGCTAGCCTTGAATTCCTGATCCTCCTGCCTCTACTTCCCAAGTGGTGGACCACCAAGTCTATGATTCCAGGTCTCTTTTTTTTTTTTTTTTTTT